AGGTAAATTTTTGTGGCCGGAGCTGGTCGTAACCCGAAAAGTTCGTTAGTAGAGGCGTTCGTATCCCGAGGTACCACTGTATTCCATGCTAGCTTCTCACTAAATCCATTTTCTAAAATTGCTCATGGGATGTTCTGAATTGCCTTTTATTTCTCTTAACAGATACCCATTGACAGTCCTACTGAAGATGAACAAAATACAGCCGCATCAAAAAGCCAGTCAGAATCAAAAATTTAAAATGGAAAAACACTAGACTCACAATTGGCAGCTTTGTCAAATAGAAGCAACCTAATGGAGAATCACAAGAACTGTAAGCCTAAAAATTGGGCTGCATGGTAGCAGTGATAATTGTATAACTACTCCTGGATGAAGTAAGGATTTGTGTACGCTTAATGAACACAACATTTTAACTTTGAAATGGTAATTTTCAACATTTGTTTCAAGTTTCAGTGATAAGATTCCCAGGAATCTTCCATTTCTTATTTGGAAGCTGTGCACTTTCATAAAATATACTATGCTGTAAGTGATAAATTAGAACCTATTTTATCAAAATCTGTCAAAATGAGTGCCAGTAACTAATCGACCCTTGGAATTCTTGTATAGAATGTGTACACTGAACAGTTTGATGTAAATTAAATATGTGTTTTGTGTTTTTATTGTAAATATATTTGAAATGTTCAAAACTGCCCTTCCTATAGGAGGGCATTGTCTTTAGCACAATAGGCAGTATGAGAAATTCATTTTTTGAATGTGTTATACTGTTAATCCTATTTGCCATTTTTTTTTGGCTTTGGTAGAATTGTGGTTTATGAAATCTCTTCATGTTGAAATACATATGAGAGAGTGGTATAACTCCCTGGTTTCCAAGAAGTACTTTACGTGCTAAGCTCTTGAAGGTAAAGGCCTTCTGAACTTTTGATTGCAAAACTAGATATTCATGGATCCTGGATTTTTTTCATTACATTCTGAAAATGAACATACATCTTTTTGTATTATGTAAATCACAAGAAAGCACTGCCAGATCATACAAAGGCATATGCATGCCATTGTATTCCTTGCATCAGTTTGTGTGTTTGTGAAAAGTGAATGTACAAAAGGATTTCTGGCAAATAAAATAAGGCAGAGCTCACAGGAATGTGTGTAGCTACGTTTAAAATAAGTCTACCATTTTTTATTTTTTTTTGT